GCTATGACAAGAAACACTGGCATCTAACAATGCTTTGGAAAAACAGTTAATTTAAACAGAAAGCACATACACAAATCCAAATAGGAAATAAAAGAGTTATCTAATAAGCATGTGTCCTATTCTGTCTCCTAAACTCCCGAAACATTGGTGTCTCATATTTGAAAGCAATTTGGGAAAGAAATCAAATCATATCTGTATGTGTGTAAAAAAAAATCAGATGTAACCCCCTTTGGAATCATTAACATTTTCATAAGTAACTGTAATTTAATTACATATATTTTCTCATTAACTATAACAGATTACAGTTACATTTATTTTGTAATTAAGTTACGTAATTCCGTTACATGTAACTAGTAACTCCCCAACCACAAGCTACCTAAACTAAACAGAGTTACATTTTATTGCCTTTTTATAACAAAATGACCATCCTTTCAGATTTAACATGATGTTCAGTTAGTAAACTGAACAGCAACCGATGCTCACCTAGCACACCGAGCGGCTGCTCTTTATAATGCCTCTCAAGCACAGAGTTGAGAGCGTAACTCCGATCCATGTTACACTGTGTGATCTGAGCAGGCGTCCAGTTCTCTGAGGTTGGCCCGTATGCGCTCGGCCTCCTCTGGGTCCCGTGTGAACTCCAAATCATCTTCTCTCTGGTTCCAGTGGGCTACAAGCACCTCCCAGGGTTTCAGAGACAGAAACAGGTCCGTTTTGGGGCCAATGTCACCACATGCTTCATTAGAGTTGAGGAAGTGAAGCCCTGGAGGAATCATCTTCACCCCACGGAACCAAGGGCCCAGGGTCCAGGTTTTGTAGTCAAGTCCCAACACTGATCCCTGAGGAACACCAAGTAAAACAAGCGTGGCTCCTTCTTCAAATAAGCCCCGAGCCACCTCGGGGTCCATATCTGTGCCTGCCATATCTGTTTAAAATAGGTATCACAAACACATCATATTACTATAGTAAATGTGACTGGAATCTCATTACAATGAATGGAAATAACAATTAAGGATTTTATCATTTGTCTGTGTCATATCATTTTGTCAGCTTTAGAAAGTTGTGGGTTTGAAAATAATAAATTAATTAAATATAATGTTAAAGACTTGCGGTATATTAATGAAATATTAAAGTAAGGCACTGAATGAGTAAGCTAGAAAATGTGTTTCAAGAGAATAATATAAATAAACAACCAGCAAAACGGGTGTAAAAAAAAATTATATTTCATAAAAAAAAAAGGTGCAAAACTGTAAACTGATCATACCTAAACAACTGCGCTCAATCACAAATCCAAATTTTTACGTAAAGGCCATGTGTGAATCAAGAAAGAAACTTCAGCTTAAGTCGAAGCTAAAGTCAAAATAATAGCCCTACTTTACAGCTCAACGCCACATACATCAGGGGCACATTCAAGCTCAAACCGGTGTGCAACGTTTTGCTACGGTTTCCGGGTTGAACGACACATTTCCTGGAAACGGTGTGCAACGGTGTTTGAGATACGTTTTCTCTTGTTTGGTGGGTGTGTCAAAAATGTCAGCCAATCAGCAGCAACATGTATATAAACCATGCGGTATTAAAGAGACAGTTTGCACAATGTAATTAACACCAAAATAACTTCACAAGAGCAAGTATATTGTTTGCACGTGATGGCAAAATAACTGAAATAATAACAGCACAAGTATAGATCTCAAACTTCTTTACTCGAGCCCAAATTTCTTTAATGTCTTCTGGTACATATCCTTTCCTTAGGAAGGTGTGCTAGACACTGATTATAGTAACATAAAAATACTATACATATTTATATATTTTGCTATTGTACTGTGGAGTGACACTTTCATAAACTTTTCTATAGGCCTACTCCTCTGATTATATAATGGTAAATATTACAATAACATAGCACAACAACAGTGATCAGCAATAATGATAAGCCTAATACTCACAATAAAAATAATAAGGTCATATAGATCATAACACAGTCTCGGAGCTAAGAAGTGGATTATCCAGTGGTGTAGTCTAGTTTTTTGTCGTGGGTATTGTGACGAGCGCCCCGAAGCTTCATCAGCGTCGCCCTGGAAACAAGCGAGGAGCACCTTCACCGTCCCACAGCAACACCCCATAAGCACCACCACATTCACTACTTCATACAATATGCATCTATGTAACTGAGAGCATTCTGAAAGACTGCTTATGTGATATCAACATGTCAATTTATTATAAGCAACAGAAGACTTTAACAGCTAATGGCATTTACAGCTGGGGAGACAGGACTGATTTCTTACTGTTTAGTGTTAATCATTTAACTCAGCCAGTTACATTTATCTTAATAATATGGTCCCTGGAGAATAGGTTTTATCAGCTGGCAATTTCAATGCACATTTAAGAGAGCCTGTTTTTAAATTCCCTAGCCTGACTTTCAGTCCACAAGGTTCGTCAGGAGTTCTCATCTCTCTCATCATCTGAAACAAGGAGATATAAACATTGTATTGGGTTTAACTGCTGTAGACACATACACAGTATGCATGTTATCTCTCCACTTCTCTCGCGCACTGATCCACCACACTAACGTTACTTAAGTTATTAGCTAGTTATGTTGGCTTGAGAAAGCCAACATAGTGTTAAACTATTTAAACTTATTATTATTCTACTGAGACCAATACTTTTCAACTGTACTGTATATCCTCCCAGGGCTTTAATGCTACAGGCACCAAACTCGTCAGAGACATTGGACCTGATCTGTAGTTTGTTTCTATATCTTTTCTAACTGATGAGACTTAAAGTTTTCTATAACTAATTATCAAAAATCAAAGATTTCCAATTAGACTTGCATTGGTTGAGCAAAAATGCCCTCTCTAGAGGACAACTGCAGAGGGTGCCACAGGATAAGAATTATTTCAACTCCCCTCAATTACTTTCGTTTTCAGACAGTTAAATTTACAAATAATTGCATCCTTTTTCTTTATGCCGCCAAGCAAAGCTAACATATTTGATCATGACCAGGTCAGGTAGTGACTATCTGATGTCCAGAGGCCAGTGTGAAAGACGTTCGGGACAGTTGACTGATCATGCACTGCTCCGATGGGGCCACTGGTGCGTCCTCATGAAACGTAATCATTTGCACATTTTTTAAGCCTTGCCAATGAAAACATTCAAGCAATTCGTGTCATCTGCTGCAGCCGAAGCAGCAGCAGCTTCAGGGACAGGCTTACGAAAACACCGAAAGAGTGTAGTTTGAGTTTGCTTTCGACGTTTGAAAGTTCTGTTACAAAACTATGTTGTTACGTATCCTCGCGCTTTTTTAAGTGGGTATACGGAAATCCTTCACCTTTCCTAGTGGGTATACAGCGTATACCTGCGTATCACCACTGCCTTCACCTGAAATGTTTGTCTTTTCATCCTGAAATGTGAGGCAAATGTTGGATCACAATAATTAGGAACCACAGTTTCCACAAATCCCTTCACTCGACTGGGATGTTCTCTTTTATTCTGGACGACAAGGGCAGTGACTGTAACATCGAGCGTATTTTGCAGTATTAAACATGTATTTGTACCGATTTCATCAGGCTCCGAAAATTCGTCAAAAAGAACACAAAGAATGGCCTTCTCAGCTGCAATAGCTGCAACTCTTGTGTCATCAGAACAGTGTTCAACGCACCATCGTTTCAGTTTAAAACACGTTTTGCACAACGCAGCCCAGCTGTTGTTGATCATTACAAAATGTGTTCCCCTACACTCATAACGTTTTAAATTTAGATATTTATAGATACTTTACTGATGTCATACATTTTTAATAACTCTGTGATGTGGGGAGCCCAGTAATCGCGTTTTATTTATGTGTTTATTTATTTTTTCCGAAGTGTCGTTTAACAAAATCCTACAGAACAATTCATTTTTCCGAAATAAAATAAAAACGTATTAGAATTGTATTCAGCTGCTATTTTGTTTTATCAAGATATCTTCTTTTTTAACGTGTGATTTAAATTCTCTCTCTCTTTTTTTTGGATGTTGTGAACTTTGTTTTATTGTTAAATATCATATTCATACAAGCAAACTGAAAACAATGTAAGCCCTCCTTTAATACATTTCTTTGTGAGTTTGTGAAAATGTTTCAGAGCTTTAAGTACTTTAAAAAAAACTAAATAGAAAGTCTGAAACTCTTTGCCTTTCTATCTCAAAATATGTATTATTTTAGTGCATTTTTATTTGATGTGTTTTCGCACTTCTATTGATTCGTGCTCCTTGTTGTTGTTTTTTCTCTTCCCTCATTGTTGCTATTTTTGTTGTGAGTATAATCATTATTATTTATATGTTGATTATTTGTATTATTTATGGTGAATGTGCCTTATGTTGTTGGACGTTCGCTGTCTTGTTATGTACCATTTGCAATAAATGAAAATAAGATTTGTTGTGTGCTGCCTTCAGAATTCGATCAGAAGAAGGTACCTCCAGAGACAGGAAGCAAAGCAGAATTTGGATTCGGACGTGCCTTGATGCCTTCCTGCCTTGTATGGGCTTACATTTCTGCCACAATTCTGCCACAATTCAGATCTGAGTTTGTGGAGAAAATGATCGTTTCGCAAAGAAAAAAGTCTTTCGAGCGCACGGAAATCAATTTTGCATTTAAAATACGTTTTTGGATGTGTGCAGACCTTCTCTTTTGCGCGTGCAACGTTTCACTAGCTTGCTCACCTGATGCCCCCCTCAGTGCTCGCTAAATGCCAACAGCTGGCGTGCTCAACACAACCCAGCGTTACATTGTGCCATAATTCCAGCCAATCAGAGACCGAGGCTGCTAAATTCTGATTGGCTGCCTTGACAACCAATCACAACATTTCTTGCATTACCTCGACAGCAAAAGAGGAAAAATACAGTGCATGCATAATTATTATGCAAGTTGATATTCTGATCATATTTTTTTCCAAGCACATGTTACCTCTTTCGCGCGCAGAATTGTGGCAGAAATGTAAGCCCATAGCCTCGGACATGTTTCCTGCAGCGCCTGCGCTCTTCGTAGCGCGCTTCACGGCTTCCGGCACGCGTCGCACGCGTCGTACGCGTCTGTGAGTGTAGCTGGGCTTCGATCTGCTTCACCTGCGCGTCTCTGCCCGATCAGGAGCCTCTGTCCCCCGCGAGAGGAGAGCGATGGGCTTCCGAAAGAAGAGCAAGAGTCCGCCCGTGCTGAGCCACGAGTTTGTGATCCAGAATCACGCGGATGTGGTGTCCTGTGTGGCCATGATCGTCCTGCTGGGGCTCATGTTTGAGGTGATCATTTCCTATCATGAGCATCACGCTGTATTATTAGTATTAAATCTATAACATAGAACATTGCCACCATGTTTGAGGGTTTCGATGTTAAACTCGTATGATGACATGCTGTTGTTATTGAGTATAGATTAATGTTTACTATTAAAATCAACCAGGTTATTACGTTTGAGTTCAGAATTATTTATTATTAAATGATCATATCACATGATCATGTGTGATGTTATTGAAAATTATACTCGTATAGTAATATGTGCATCACATTTTAGGTCATTTATTACTTTTATACTGAAATAACAACATGATTGGCACATTTTAGGTTATTTTTTACTCTTACACGCATATAATAACATGATCATCACATAATGCATCAGTGCAGTCTGTTGTATTATGCTACATAGACACCCACTTCTGTCCTAAAACCATGGTGTCCATGTAGTGCAATACAACATAGTTATTACAGTAATTCCCATCTTAGTATACTCTTGATACAATCCCTTGATTTAAGTGTTCTTTTAGTATTTTAGTTAAACAGCAGCACTAAACGTGCTGAATGAAATAATGAAAGCATAAAGCTGCTTGATCACATGCTGTGACTTTGCTTCCTCATTGCATTACTATGACCTGCTAAACTACCTCTCCATTTAAACTGGCTTGGAGCTTCATTATAACAGCTAAAGTCAGTTTGATGAGTTTTATCATTCTTCCTAATATTGCTGTTAGTATCAGTAATGGCAGGAACTATTTGATGCGCGGCTGTTAAACTTGTGGTTTGTGCATCTCGTTTGCAATATGTTTGTGTGTACTTGTATGTATTAATATGATTTTTTTTTTTTTTTTTTGCAGGTGACAGCAAAATTTGCAATTATGTTCATCACAGTCCAGTATAATGTCACACAAAGCCTGGATACGGGTACGATCTAGATCTTTCAATCACGCTTGTACTAAAATATAACCGCAAGGTGCAGTCATCATCAGATTTGGTTTATTGACTAATATAAATTTGCATGTTATTGTATATACTTCATCTGTAACTTAGTAGGTCACAGCACTCCATAGAGCCAGAATTGAACTAAATCTGAATACCAATTTTCTTTCGGAGTGTTTCAGAAGATATATTTCAGGCAACTTGGCTTACAACTGATAATTGAAGAATATAATGATTTTTGTCTTATTGTAGTCAAGTGAACGTATTTTTCTGTCGCTGGTGGCATTTCTCTGCTCACCCAGGTGGCTTCATCAGTTGTGGAAATGTCACTGTGTGTGATCAGATGAAATTCTCCAGTTGAGACAATTAGCGGAAAGCGTCTCTAAACGAGCCGCTCTGCTCGGACCCCTAATGAGTGCGTAATGAGTTTAAATGAGCAGGCTTTCATTTTGGCTGCTTGGTTTTGTTCAGATGCAGAGGACAAGCCTGAGTCTGTCAACTACTACAAGTACGGTCCCAAGGACATGGCCACTGTCTTCTTTTACCTGCTCATTGCCGTAATCCTTCATGCCCTGATTCAAGAGTACATACTCGATGTAAGTCATGTGTTCTCTGCTGTTATAGCTTATCTGAGTATTTAAGATTGTGCACCTTTTCTTGAGCACTAATCAGATGAGCATTGAAGTCCTTCTGTTGAAGCTCAAAATGCTCTTTGGGACGTTCTCAAATCTCACGGCTCCTCAGGTCCAACCCAGCTCGAGTCCATGCTGGCATTAAGAGAAGGGGACACATATCTCCTTTAGCTGTACTAGACTGCTTTCACTCAAATTGTTAGACTGAATGCATAATTTGTAATTAAAAACATGTATACGAGGTCGGTAAGGTTTTTTTAATGTATATCAATGCTCACCAACGCTGCATTTATTGAACCAAAAATATAGTTAAAAACACTGTTGTTGTAAAATATTATCACAGTTTAAAAGAGCTCATTCAAAGATTCAGATTTGTCGCTCAAGAAACAGTTCTAGTTATTATTAGAGTTGAAAACAGCTGATTTTTGTCATTAATAGAAAGTTCGAAATTACTTTAGTATGACAGAATCTTTTGTAACATTTTAAACTGTCACTTTTAAACTATTTAATGCATGCTTGCTGAATAAAAGTAGTAATTTCTTATAAAAAAAATAAATAATAATGATAAATATTTTACTGACACCAAACTTTTGAACGGTAGTTTAGATATGTGACCCTGGACCACAAAACCAGTCATAAGGGCCAATTTGTGAAATTAAGATTTATACATCATCAGAAAGCTGAATAAATAAGCTTTCCATTGATGTAATCATCTTTTTAGGTTTGTTAGGATAGGACAATATTTGGCCGAGATACAACTAAAATCTGGAATCTGAGGGTGCAACAAAATCTAAATAGTGAGAAAATTGCCTTTAAAGTTGTCCAAATTAAGTTCTTAGCAATGCATATTACTAATCAAAAATTACGTTTTAATATATTTATGGAAGGAAATTTACAAAATATCTTCATGGAACATGATCTTTACTTAATATCCTAATGATTTTTGGCATAAAAGAATAATGGATAATTTTGACCCATACAATGTATTGTTGGCTATTGCTACAAATATACCCCAGCGACTTAAGACTGCTTTTGTGCTCCAGGGTCACATATGAATGCATGCAAAAGAATGTTGTACATGCACATACATTTATATATTTTGTGCTAAAATATTGTGATTTCTTTTGGTCATTTGTTACGTGTCAGATCAGGACTTGCTACTAAAGCCTGTGTCAGACAGTTTTATCAGTCAACATGAAACTAATTTGAACGGTTTCTTCAAATTGCTCTTCATCTCTCAAGGCAGTGACCTGATTGTGTTTCCACAGAAAATCAACCGTCGGCTGCACTTGTCCAAAACAAAGCACAGCAAGTTCAATGAGTCGGGCCAGCTGGCCACCTTCTACTCGCTCTCCTTCGTCTGGGGCTGCAGCATCCTCACCAGTGTAAGAGATCTGATGCTACCCTGCTCTCATCTGCACACAGACTAACTGACCGTTTCTCTAATCAACAGGAGGAGTTTGTGACAAATCCGACTTTTCTTTGGGAAGGTTATCCTCATATCAACATGGCGTGAGTGTGAAGTCATGTGACGCATTCATTCTAACAACCTTTTTTTTTTTTTCTTATGTCCAATCCCTAAGAAAAGTAGCACATCTCACTTTGATAAAGCACTTTTGAGGGTCTCTAGTGCTTTTGTAATTAAGTAAACATTTAATATATTGAACACATCATTGTCCATTTTTGATTATTGCAGGATGTAATTAAACTACTCCAACAACACTGAAAACTCCCAGCTCAGATTACTCAAACTGTAACCTGTTTGTGTTAGTATTTGTGAGTATCTAACACATTATGTGCACCGTTGCGTTGACCACAAGCTCATCTCCAACCCTCTTTCTGTCTTGTAGTTTCCAAGTGAAGTTTTTCTATATCTGTCAGATTGCCTACTGGTTCCATGCTCTTCCGGAGCTGTATTTTCAGAAAGTACGAAAGGTAAGGCTTAGTTTTTTGCCATATATATCTGAAGCTGACAGAAATGGTTTCTAATAATGTATAGTTATAGTATAATAGTATACAATATGGTCGTTGTTATACATTATTAAATTGAAATTGTGTTTATTTTTAGGAGGACATTCCACGTCAGCTGTACTACATTTGCCTTTATATATTTCACATCGCTGGTGCCTACGTCCTTAAGTGAGTGTTTTTTCTTATTTTAGGGTGAATTTGGTTTTACAGTGCGGGTAGTGATGGACCTCAAGACCCAAACCTGTTAGTTCAAGAGCTCGGCTGTCCCTTTTAAAAAGAAAATAGTGAAAATTAATGTTTATTCAGCGTTTATTACAGCAGCAGTGTAGCCATTTAGTCTAAATAGCTGTGCGATTCTCATACATTTTCAGAAATGAGATTGATCACGTTTCGAATGTTGGTAAAAATGTTTTTGTTTATTTAGACGTCCCCGAGATCAAGACTCCAGCTTAGGGGTGTGCGATATGTATCATCTACAATAATATCATAATTGTTGTTTAAACGACATGCAACCC